AGCAAGCTAAATTTAAAAGTGGAAAAACTTTTAATCTACTATTTTTTAACCTAGATTGAATATTAAAAGTTTTGATATTTTTAAAAGTGACTAATCTTAAATTTCAAATTATTAAAATCAAATTTAATGAGGTGAGGGTTCAAGATATTTTTCTGGTGCAGGTAAATTCTCCCTGAAATTATTTCTCCGATAAATAAGGTTTATATTCATGATCCAAATGATAGGTGTCAATTAGAAGCAACAATCTTCCATATATCCTCCCGGATGTTTAAAGAAGTTTGCTAACAGTTGGCTTAGTTCCCTAATCCAATAACTAACCCAAGGATCCATTTCTCTCTAAATGATTACACACTAATCTAAAGGCAATATCCATATTCCCTTAAATTAATGTGCTTAACTTAATTGTTCCACTAAGAATTCTTCTGAATCTCAAACTTCACAATGAGTTTTAACAATTCAACTGGCTTTAATTAATGTAAATTAGGAATTATGTTTAATTCAACATCTTATATGATTTTCAATGAAAATAAAACAAGATAATTCAAACCTATCATTCCTTCACAACCAATGCAAAGGAGAATATTGATCTATACACTACACATGCTTGTAAACAAAAACATCATGATTTCATTAAAAGAAAATATCAAAGGTTCAATTTGCTGGATTAAAACTCCATGGATACACGAAGAACTTGCAAACTTATCTTTTGTCTTTACCAAATTATATGATGTAAACACAAAATAATTACACACACTAAATCTCACAATTACGCTCCTTACTTTACTCGCTTGCTTATTGAATCCTTCTTTGATTTTTTTCTTCACTGTAATTTGCCTAGGAAAGTGAGAGTCCCCTCTTCTGTCTGTTGAAGATCAATATATAGCATCTAGCATGAATTGATGCTTTTGAACCACTAAAATTGCCAAAATGCTTAAATTATCACCTATGCTCTATTCAAAGGCGCGTAGGCACTGGAATCGTGACACCAACTTTTCACCTTCTCAAGAACGATTTATAGGGTTTTGGACACTTAGGCACTAAGGCAGCAATGCCTAGGCACTGTTATTGTGGTTTCCACTTCTCGTCTTCTCTATATTTTGGACAAAATGTTGACCATAGAATCAGTCCTTATGTGCCTAGACGCTCCAACAAGGTTCTTAGGCACTAATCAATCACTTGGCTTTTTTTTATGGTTCTTTGACTCCTATGAATCATCTCTTACAAATCTTACAAAAAAAGTTAACAAATACCCTCTAAATGTTAAAATTAACTTTAAAATGATTAAAATAAGAGCTTGGATTGGCATATTTTCTATACACATCCGTTATGTACACCAACTATAACATTTCAAGATGGAACACTAGAGTCTTTGGTATTCAATAGATAATTCTCCTCTCTCCCTTAATTCCTAATGGTTGGTGGTCATCTGATGGCTTAGTTTTTTACACATCCGTTATGTACACCAACTATAACATTTCAGGATGGAACACTAGAGTTTTTGGTATTCCATAGATAATTCTCCTCTCTTCCTTAATTCCTAATGGTTGGTGGTCATCTAATGGCTTAGTTTTCCCTATGGTTTTGATATGAATTTTTTTTATCTATTTTAATGGCATTATTTGAATATATATTAAAGATGGAGTTGATATTACATATTCTACAAATATGTAGTCAGCGCTTGCATTTATTATTTAAACTTTTGCAATTGGTTAATATTTTCTTTTAGTGGTTTTTTTTATATTTTATAAATTTTCATTAATTTTAATATATAAGGAATTTACCAACTTTGTGAGTTTTAAACTTGGTCCCAAGAGACTAATTTTGGCGCCATGTAGATTGGTTTTCTTTATAATAAATTATGAAAAGAGATTAGTGGGAAAAGATATTGGATGTGAGAGAGAAAAGAAAATATAAATATGTAAAAACTGAAATATTAGGCTAAGAGTAATTCCACATGAGAAGAGGGGTATAAGACCTTATGTACCAAGCTCTCCTTAAATAGTTTAGGCCTTTTTGATAGACTTAAATTTATCCATAAAATTCCATAAAATAAACACACTAATAATTTTATGCATTCAAATAATAAAAAAAACTATAGAACTATCAAGCCTCTAATTCTTAATAAGTTAATTTATCACAAGTCAACAAAAAAAAAACTTCTAAAAGCCATCATAACTATTAAAAAAGATTTTAAAGCAATAAACTAAATTTCAAATTCCAATAAGAATGTGATAAACCTAGAAAAATGGAGTAATCCCTCATAAATTTGCTCTCAAGAACAAAATTATGGGTAAATTAATATAACTGATAAAAGGCTAAGTTATATGGTAGAGCTCTTAGTTTAAAATTTATATTATTTAGTTGAAAATTTATACTATCACCATAAACTTGAAAGTAAAATGTATAAATTACTTTTAAAATAATAAATTAAATTAAACAAACATAAAACAAAATTAGTTAACCTAAAAATTTATAAACTAAGTCACAAGCTTGCAGACAAACTGACCATACAACAATCTCCTCTTATCGAAGAACTAGTTTTAGCCAAAATTTAGTTCCTTCCTAGGTCTGTTCTAATGCCAAATATGAAGGTGGTGAGTGATCTTTTTGTAAGACCAAAGAAGAAATAAAAATATTAGTTTTAGTTTAACATCTAAATATAGGATTTGTAATTTTTTGTAGAATGCTAAGGGGTTTAGTAAAGCGTGGTGGTAGGAATGCCAATACTAGTCAAGATAAGGCTAATTTTTTAAAAGTTAAAATGTTCTTTTGCAAATGTGATTTAAAAATAGGCAAAATGTTGGAAATTCATATGGGTGATTAACTTATAATGTGCAATTATAATATGAAGTTAAGGGGTATATATTTGGGTGAGTTTATAAAGGTTTTGAGTAGAAAATAAGACTACGTTTAGTCTTCTTTAGCTTAGCTGAGTGCTACAAAGAGATGCTTGAAATGATTGTAAGGCTTGAATTACAATATTATTGATGTTATAAGATGCTTATAATATGGAAGATATTTGGTGAGAGCTTAGATCAGGTGATATGGAGAATAATGAATAATATAAACGAATAGAAGAAAAGAATAAATATTTATTCTCACCTTAGAAAAGACACACACTCGAAGCCACTTAGTACAAGGAAAAAATAACAAACTCTTACAAAAAAAAATGTTTCATTACAAACTTGAAAAAAGTTTAGTACATATCAACCGTATTTATGGGGATGAACTAAAACAAAATTAAAGAAAATGGAAATTTTTGAGGGAGAGATTGGTGACCATTAATGGAGGAAGGAGGAACCACCTCGTAATTTTAACTTTCATTTTTTTTAAAATAAATGACCAACTAATCAATATTTTCAATTATAAAAATTTAAATGTGCAATTTAAATAATAAAATCTAAATTCTAATTATTTTTTATTAGTATCTCGTGATTGACATTAACTAGGTAATATATTAGGTCTTATATTTAGGTAATTGTCTTTATTTACTTGAACCACATGATTTGCTACATCAGTTCTACTAAAGAAAAAAATATGCATGCTAATCAAACTATATCATTGATTCTAGCGGATGGCTACGTTAAGAAAGTTAGGATAGAAAAATGACAAATTGATATCGTTGTTCTCATTGGTTCTAAGGAACCAAGTAGGTTCTTGTTTAAGCAATGTTGAAACAATCATCTGATTGCTCATTAAATACACCATCTTCTTTTAGTGAGATTACAACATTTTATGTTTCGCCAAATTTCAAAAGGAGCTCGCATATTAAGAAGACTTTAGATATTGTTACTAAGCACTACACTGGGGTCATGCACCTTCTTCTTAAATGATGATATTAGGTTGGGGTCTCTAACCTAGCTCTTGTTATAATTACTAGAGAAAAGGTGTAGCGACCCAAGTCAGTAGTTATCCCCTCAGTTGCACAAAGCTCTATATCTGATTTATTGTCCAAGGAAAATGGAATAATGAAAAAAAGGAGGAAATATAAATAAGAATAAATGAAAGAAAGTGAATTAAAAAAAAGAAATTGAAAAGAAGAAAGCATCTCAAGTCAACAATTATTAGGAATATGTTTTAGTCAATCAACATTTTCTCTATAGATTTGTTGTGAGATAGTAAAAAAGTTAAGCATGAATACAAAAAAAAATTATGAGGAAGAAGAAGCTAAAATAACGAGAATCAAAATGATCCACAGTTGATCAGACATCGTGAGTGGACTTTGAACCTAATGAAGATCAACGCTCGTTAAAGAAGTCTATATAATGGAAGAGGATCTAACTAAACTCTTGAGACATTGGATTGGTTGGAAATAAGGATAATGTTGGAAATAAAAAAAGTCGATATTAGGTATTATAAAAATGTCTTAATGGTTAAGTATTAAGAGCATTAAAATAAAAATATATTTTATTTTTACTTTTATTTTTTGAGCACGTAGAAAAACGAAACTATACACTTTCAGGTTCTTTATTTTTATTTTCTAATTAATATGTACACATTTAAGCACAAGATAAAAGTGGCAATTACATATAGACCACCTGAAACTTGAGATTTACAAATCAACCACCCCTTTTCATTCATTTTACAAATTCACTTAAATATCAAAACTTAGGATAAAACCCAAAGATAAATTTCTTTTTTATCAAATTCTCAATAATTTGATTGTTACATGCATAAATATATCCATTTAATAGTACAAAAAATTTGTAATGATATCAATAGTTTAGTGATCTGATTCATTTTACAAATTCACTTAAATATCAAAACTTATGATAAAACCCAAAGATAAATTTCATTTTTATCAAATTCTCAATAATTTGTATTGTGACATGCATAAATATATCCATTTAATAGTTCAAAAAATTTGTAATGATTAATTTATAAATATCAATAGTTTAGTGATCTTTGTATATTTATCCCAACATAAAAATATTTTGAAAGAAAAATAAAATATATTATTTCAAAAACATAAATAGCTTGCATGTTTTGGAGGAATCTAGTCCACTTTTCAGATGTGTCCATTCATGCGTGAAGCTTCCAAACTTGCCGAAGTTCGAGCTTTTTAGGAATCTGTCGAGTATTTTCAGGTGCGACGCTCACTCCGAAAGAGTTCTGTGGGAGGTTGGGAAGTCATGACGGTCGTTCCTCTCGAATCTCTACCTTTAGGTTTCCGTTTTCACCCCACCGACGAAGAGCTCGTTAACCACTACCTCAAAGGAAAAATCACCGGCCGACTCCATTCTGACACGCAAGTGATTCCTGAGATCGATGTCTGCAAATGCGAGCCATGGGACCTCCCTGGTATTATCAGCCCAACTCTTCATCTCGTCTTCTACCATTTCTTTGTCTTTTCAGGTTCCAAAAGATTTGAACTTGACGGGTTTTAGGTCCTTTCACAGATAAATCTTTGATCCGATCCGATGACCATGAGTGGTTCTTTTTCGCGCCTATTGACCGCAAGTACCCTAATGGTTATCGGTCTAACCGGGCGACGGGGGCTGGTTACTGGAAGGCCACTGGTAAGGATCGGGTCATTCGGTCGCGCGCGGCGCCGCTTCCTGGTGTCATCGGGATGAAGAAAACCCTTGTATTTCACCGCGGCCGAGCCCCAAAAGGATTACGCACTTGCTGGATTATGCATGAGTATCGGACTACCGAGCAGGAATTTGAGTGCGGGGAACAGGTACACCATTTATTTGTGTGCCTGCATCCTTGTTTTTCACTTCAAGTTCTAAATGCATGATTGTGAATGGATGTTTGAATATTGGAATAACTAGAATTGGATATATTTGCTTGTTGTCGCGTCTTTTTCTCGTTGCCTGGAGGATGGCTTCCGATATGATAAGTTACTCTTTTTTCTTTCTTTTCGTTTTTTTTGGCGAATTTCAGTTTTCTATGAAATCTTTCTTTAAATGAAGGAAGAATGTATGTTTTTACTTTTTTCAATCTTTCTTTAAATGAAGGAAGAATGTATGTTTTTCCTTTTTTTCTTTTTTCTTTTTTTCTTTTTTTCTTTGGAGGGATTCCTCTTTGAGTAGTCTAGGTATGCTTGTGCCCAATTTACATGATCTAGTTTATATGATATGTGTGCCGTCGTTGTTGGACATGGTATACTGCTCACCAAGTTTTATGGTAAAACTTGTTCTGCTTTAGTGAAGGCTTATAGTTTACTTAAAAGGGAGAAAACTTGGTTTGATTACACAATTTACTTATTTTCCATGGTTCTGCTTCATTATGCGAGAGATTTATTTATGCCATATTGTATTTTTATATGTTTACTAAACTTGACTATGAGAAAAGTAGAATAATGTTTTTGTTACATTCTTGTTTTTGGTCGCCACCTTTTCAAAGTTGAATTCCTTTTTGATTTTAGTGGGTTTGATATCAATAATCATCAATCAAAATTATCAGAAGATAAAATGATGTCTTTGTGTGATAGGTTTAAAGTTTAGTAAATCTATTATACAAAATCATGAGAATATGTCTTTTTGAGTTAGATTTGAGTGTTTAAAAGGGAAAAAGTGAGCAAGGAATGTTATGTGATATGATGATATCATGAATGCTTGAAAGGTACATCTTATAAAATCGGTTAGCTAGTTTATATAAATCTGATTAGTGTAGTAAAAAAATCTTTGATAGCTAAGTTAAGTCTAGCAGGAATACAAGGATAGCTATGTGGAAAAATCTAATTATCTAAATTAAGGAATGATTGTATTAGAAAAATGGTTGGAGTGACATTTAGTGAAGATTAGGTGGCTAAAAATAGAATTAGATGTTTTGGATATATAAATGAATGATTAGAAAATGCACTAGAAGATTGTTAGATGATTTAAAAAAAAATTGATAGATTGGGAAGGAAAATGGGTAGAGCAAAGGTATCATGGATTGAATTTGTTCAAGATAATTTGCAAAGGATAGATTTATTACTTTAAGAAGCACTTAGTGGGAATGAATAAAAAATAATGATTTTTAAAATTGATGTGGGATTTGTTTGCATACTTTTAAATAAGTCAAGAAAACGAGTACTTATTTTAATCGCCTTAACTTTTTTTAAAATCTTATTCACATATTTGCCAATAACTTATAAATTAATGGATGCATTCATTCAAGTGACACATACTGGTGTTAGATCTATTTCAACTTCCAATTAAGCATAATGTAACCTTGAAGACAAGGCTTTTCCATAAATAACATCAATCCAACCTCTTTGCAGGGTTTATCATTAGATGTCTACTTTGATAAAGTTCCTATGGTATTAAGGGGAACAAAAGAATTTTCTTTTAACTCTTAGTAATGGGCGTATGCCTACAGATTGAGCCACTTATTATTGTTTTTAACTTTTATCTTTGTGAGCTTGTTTTCCTTGCTTCCTAACAAGTCTCCTCAAAGTGTATATTAGGTTCAATTATTTTTCAAATCCTAGCCCTATTGAAAATTAATATTCCTCCGATCTTATGAGTGAATGTGCTACCATTGTTCACACCTTTGGCATCATCTATATGAATCACTCTACCATAAGATGGAGGAAAATGAGATTGGATAGATGGCAACAATAACAACGATGTTTGTCAATTAAAATCTTATGTTCATATTGGTATTGTTCATTTTGAACATCATTTTAGCAAGTCATTGAATGACGATGCATTCATCATTCAAGAACAAATTGATACGTGATTTGATGATGTACATTAACTTTAACTTAATATCTAAATGCAAGTCATCTTAGCCTATTGATTTAGTGCTTTATCCTTCAACCAAGAGATCTTGGATTGTGCATATGTGGTGTGCTTGTATTTGGGTGTGTGTGAAATAAAAAAGTCACAATCACAAGGGAAATTAATGATGCAATAAATCATCATATTGCTCTGGCAACTTAAAAACCTCAGTATTATCATGAACTTAAAAATGTTATCATCAGACAGTCAAATTTTTTTCTTATTGCACAAATTCCTTGCATAAATTTCTTATAACTTCTAAGTCTTAGAAGATTTCTTCTCATGAGAAGAGTTCTTCTCATGAATTTCAAAGCTCTGCAGTGAGAAATGCTTAAGGGAGTTGCAGATCCAGAAAAGCATTTAGATATTTTCAAGAACAGTCTTTCTTTAAATAACATCTAAAATGCTATAGAGCGCAAAATATTTGCAATGACTTGAAGATGGTTTAACACACTAGCTTTCTCAAGTATTGGCTTATTTGAGGAGTTTAATATTTGTATCTTGCCCAATTTCTTAGCCTAGCCTAGAAAGGGCATTACGAACTTTCTTCGTTGCTCTTCTACATCAAGCATAACACATGGGAGAGGTTGGGAGATTACATGGAAGCCTCATTTGAAGTCACTAAAGACTACAAATTTTAGGCAAAGATTGTATTAATCCTTGGATTAATGTTAAGAAATTGTTATGAAAAGTGAAAAAGTTTTTATTAAGCTTGAAAAAGCTATTGAAAAGCAGCTAAAATATACTAGTATAGGAATCTAAATATCCCATGAGAGAATTATCTTCCTTGTTGGAAAATGGAAGAACAAAATCTTATTTTCTCAACCTAATAAGTTAATAAAGGTTGATTTATCATATAATGAGAAACAATATAGAAGATAACCACTTGTTGATAGTAGTAATAATCTATTATCTTTACCTTTTACAAGGTATATTGATGTCTTCCTCCTTCTAACTGGCCATTAGTCACTGCCTATTTAAAATATAAAATACTTAGTGACCAACACCCATGAGTAAATTGGCCAAAGGCTAAGATAAATCTTTACTGAAATATTTATGACCATGGCATAGTGAGTTGTAGAGTTTTTAAATATCGGTTGGAAAATTTAACTAAAGAGATCCGCCTTAAGTAATTTCTTGTTTATTGTTACATATATAATTAGCCTGCAAAAGTACCTTTTGCAAGGATGTTTAATGATATAAAAATTATTGTGACAATATGTGCCATCACTGGGAGAGCTAGAGTTGAGGCTACTCAATTTACAACGTTGAAGAAGCTCATTGATTATGAGGTTCATTTCTCTTCAACTCTGCGCAGATCTCTCTTAAATAACGATTTGTGACCTTTTCAAAACATGTATAATGTGCAATCATTGCCACACTCATTAATCATTTCTAGTGTTGTTGGTCCCCATTGACATTGGAATTTTAGTCAACATCCCATTCCTTGATTTGGCCAAAAGGATGAGATTGGGTTCTAGAAACTTCCAACCACCAGAAGGGATATTGGCTAGGTTTAGGGGAGAGGTGTATTCTAGAAGGTATATACTTTTCGAGTCTTATGGGAAAATAATAACATTAATGAAGTTAGACATATATACCTCATGATAATAAGAGCAGCATTAGCTTGCAATTTCATCTTTGGATGATCACTACTTGATTCATTTAAAGTTTTGATGTTTGTCAAGCATCTTATAGTCAAATTTGCTTCATCCAACAACATTATCATAGTACTTTAGGATATTTAATCTAGTCGCTAAAATGTGATCTTATTTGTGTCAAAATAAAAGTGATAGTATTTTTTGAATAAAAAACATAAAGGAAGACTTGATTTAAGTACCAACCACTGAAGATATTTCTTCTCATCTCTCTTTGCAAATGTACTCTCAAAGCTAACTTATATTTTAATTGCATAATACTATGGATTTTCTTTCTTGGGAGATATCTGAGATTTGGGTGAATATCAACCATATTTCCTGTAAGTACATATTAATTCTAACAATAAAGACAACCACAAAATAGAAAATTTTTAGAAGAAATTAATGTTGCCATTAAAAATGAGTAAAACCTCTAAAAGTTGAATTCATTTAAGAAGTCTAGTATCCTAAATGGATTTCAAATAGGGTTATATTTAAGAGATCAAATGGTAAGAGACAAATATGTTTGGATTTAAAAAATAAATAAATAATGGTTGTCCAAAGGATTCTTACTTGCTGGCCAATATTGATGTTATTTTTCACCTACAATTAAGTTTTCTCCACACAAGGTTTTCTTGATGCATTATCGGGATACCACCTTATCAAAATGTTCTAGGAAGATAAAAAACAATGAAGTTTTACCATGGATAAGGGTCACTTTGTTATAAAATTATACCCTTCGAGCTCAAAACTAATTGAGCAACATATCTAAGGTGGATGGACATAATATTCAAAGATCAAATGGAAGAAATTTGGAAACTTATGTTGATGTTGTCATAGCTAAAAATTGAAGTATGAATCATCTCATTGACATTTTGGAGACATTTACTTAGTTAGGAAAGTACACCGTTAAGTACCGTTTTGGGATAGGTACACCTTTTTGTAAAGGTGGTTGTAAATGTGTGATGAAGAAATTTACTTCTTAGAAAACTGCAGTGAATATTATAAATATTTATTTTTTTAAAAATCGTATGGTAGCTTTTCTACTATCACCATACTTTAATAGATCTAGTTGTTTAAGTCAAGATGCAGACAAGCTTCAGATAATTTTTCTAAAGCATATTGTATTCAGCTGCCTAAAGTGATGTCGTTGGATGTATTTTTCTAAATTCTTAACTCAATAGAATATTATATAGTTCACATAGTTTGTAAAAATACATATCTAAATATAACAATCGATCATCAACTAGAATATCATAAAAGAATTTTTGATAATCACAATTATATTAATTTAATAACAAATATTGTAAATATTTAATGTTGTTTTTTTT